CTTTTGCCATTCATTCCAAGTCTTTTCACCTATTGGTCCTTTTATTTTTGTCATCTAAGTATCTAATAAAGTAATATCACTAATTCTACCTGTTCTTCCTAAATACTTAAAGAAATCTGTGATATACTCAGCTATATACTGTAAATCGCAAATTTGTAATTGTTCTAAATTTCTAATTGCTCTTATTTGTTCTTGTTTGCTTCCGTCATCTAGCCTATTATGATCTAAAAACTCTTGTTTAATCAAAGTAACAAAATCATCAATATTAAAATGTGGTTTAGCTGCCTGATGCTGTTCTGGATTTTGAACTTTCCATGACTGGAAATAATAAAAAACTAAACCATCCAAAGTATGCTTAAAGCAATCTAACATATTTTGTGAATTACTAAAATTTAACATTAATGCTGCATGTACGCATCTTTTTTCCCATCTCTCAATCGTTCTTTCCCAATCTTGTAGATCTACATTATCTAAATGTAATATATTACCAGCTATATTAATTTATTCTAACCCTCTCAAATATGGAATCCTATTTTTTCTAGGTTTTATCATACTTTCTTCCATATAGTCTACTTTTGCTTTTTCATTATATTGTTCATTTGTTGGTCTCAAAAATTGTTGATCAGTTCTACTTGCGTGTCCTGGATTTTCTACTCCTGATGTACTACTTTCTTCTGTTGGATTACATTCTGCTTTCAATTCTAATAAATTATTATATTCTTTTGATCCTAAAATGTGCTCTACTCCTATTTCTAAGATTAAAATTTTCATTTCTTTGTCTGAAATTTTATGTAGTCCTAAATCATATGTCTTATATTTTTCCAAATATTGTTCTTCATCTAAATGATCAATATCTTCTATAAGTTTATCTACAATATGATTAAAATTTTGTTCAACTAAATTAATATCTAAATTATCAAAAGCCATATGCATACTCTCATTTTCGATTTCACTCTCATCCTCTTCTATTTTTTTCTAGTTGCTTATAATTACTAAACCTAATTGTTGCTTGACATGTATTAGTATCATATATTTGTACTTTATCTGGTTGTCTATTTGGTGCTACTTGTAAATTAGGCAATGTCCACCGAGTTCCTTCTAAAAAGCTATTATCTACGGGTTTTGCTTCTATCATATTTACATGTTTACTGGCAAATGTTTGAACTAAATTTTGAAACTCTAAATTAAACTTATGATTATATCTATCAGACACTTTACCTATATACATTAAGCTAATACACAAATTTTTATACTCTCCTTTCATATTATATTTTTTTGTTCTTATGCTCACTTTAATATATTTACTAAATTCATTAATCGTCATAACATAATTTGGAATACAACCTATGACTGCTAAGTTTGAACTTAAGTTTACTTCAGTTATTGCTATTGTTGCTTGTTGGTGATTATCTCATCTATTATCATATATGTATACTAAAGCTTTTGTACCTACTTGTGCTCTGGTTAATCCTGTTATTCCAATTAATATTGTTCCTATATGAATCTGACTAAAATGTGATTTTCTCAAATGAGTAACTGCTTCTTTACTAATTAGATTAAGTGTGACTTCTTTATCAATACAGTTAACTTCATGTTGACTGATGCTGCTTATAATTCTACTTCTGTTTTCAAATAAACCTAATTGATACAAGTTATATTTATTTCTCTGTGTTCTCTCAAAACCTCTTCGAATAAATTCTTGTGCTTCTTCTTCATTTGGATAAATATCTATTGCTCTAACTACTTCTTTTCCTTTTTTCCTAAAGAGTTCCATTTTCTATTATCAAAAGGATTTAGCTTAGGTCTTCTATTATTATTTGCACTCAATAATGTTTCCCTGTTTTGGACCAGAAGTCTAATTAAACAAACACACTAAAGAAGGAAAAGAAAACTTACTTAAGACTTGGAGATTACTTGAATATGTACACTTGAACTTTTATTGATATATGGAATGTTTACAGAGATAGTTGTTTACAAGAAAGTGATTACAAAGAAGTGTTTACAATGATGCTATGAAGACTACGCATGCTTGAGTGTATGAAGTGAGTATGGTGTTTTCAGATGTTGAGAGAGGTGTGTTCTGTATGGGAGGAAAGGCTCCCTTATATACAAAATCTAATTCTTCAAAGACAAAATAACATTTCATCTATTTACAATTTTTTGAATAGTGACAGTACACTGTTTCTGAAAACTGTCAACACTGTTTCTGAAAGCTGGCTATCTTGTCTTTGCTTGAATGTCATGTGAATTTATGTTATCTTGGTTGCTGCAGTGTTTGCCACATTTTCTTTTGCATGTGAATCTGTATTGTCTTGGTTGTTTCAATGTTTGCCACATATTCTTTTGCATGCAAATGTTTTCTGAAAATGTCAATCTCTTTTTTCTTCTTTTGGATGTATCCACATGAACTTTGCAGAAAGCTGATCCAATCTTGTACATATGTGTGAAGGGTAGGATCGGCATTTTTGAAAAAAATATGTCCTGATGATTAAAAGTAAAGTTTTGAGGGTGTTTTGGTTAGTTTTTCAAAAAATAAATGGTATTATGACATTGATTTGGAGAGTTGGATTAAGAGAGATGTTGTGAGTGGTTGACAGTCTGGACAGTAGACACTACTAGAATTATGCTTATAGGACACCATTTTTTGCACACCATTTGAAATCGGTGGCCATAGATATAAAGCACTCACTCTTAGCATTTTTTGGTGTCTTTACAATGGGATGCCACTGATATGGGTGGCTTTCAACATTGAGACACCAATGATTGGTGTCTGTTAAATAGTTTTATTTCTTAAAATTACTTTTCTTCTACTTGTTTATTTTATTATTTATTTTGTAGGCACCGATCGAAATGGTGTTGGTTAATTTTTTTGTTTTCAAAGCTGGGATATATATTGCAATTTTTTTTTTGTTTTGAACGTTGCGATATATATTGCAATGGGAGAACACTCATCCTGAGAAGAAAACCTACGGATGCAAGTGAAATACAAAAGGGAGACAGAGGCCAAAACCTATAGAAGAACAGAGCCTATGACCTTAATCGCATCTCTCAGCCATTATTGCATCAGTGATAAAGTCGGGTGGTTCCGCGAACCAGTCGCACTCGCAGAATGCGGACAGGGCGTAGTGGCCAAGGGAAGGTGAGCGGCCTCGTTTAGTTGGCGACGGGTGTGATCAGCGGAAGCTCCACTCCTGGTGGAAGGCTGGTTATCTGCTTCTCAAACTTTGCCCTTTCAATTTCTCAACATATTAAGCTCCTCGGTTCGCCATTTATTTTTAGTTGGGTTTCATACAATCAATTTGGGGCTGCAAGACATTGAATTGATTTTGGGGAGTAAAAACAGGTAATTTTGTGTTTCTTATATTTAATATTCAAAATTTTTTGGATCAAACTTTTCAATTTGTTTATTAAGTATTCGATTCTTGGGAGTTTTTAGAAGTTAGGTTTGAAGTGCTTCTTCTATCTGTTCAAGTTGGATCAAACTGCAAACCATACAAGGTTTAAGCTTATAATTGTTCTTGCAAATACAAGCTAGGTGTTCATTTCTTGTTATATAAATATGTAAATTCCTTTACTGTCTCCACGAAAGCACGAGTTAGGCAAATCGCAACTACGTTTTGGAATTTGATAATTTAGGTGTTTTTTCCTTCTTGTTTTTTGAATGACTAATAATGTCGCAAGAAGGTAGGTGGAATTTGAAATTTTAGGTGTTCTTGGATGTTTTTTTTTTCTTTTTCAAACTACTATCCTTTAAGCTTGTAGAAACTAAGGGATATAAGTAGAAATATATATATGTAAAGTTCCACTCTTGGTTAAGCTTATGCTATAAGGATATCACATTTTGTTCTTATGTTCTATAAACACTGTAAACAAAATAAGGGACTTGGGTAGAGAAAGTCTGGCTTATATTAACAAGGCTGTGAACGAACTTGCATATGATATTGTGTGTTTTTAAGTTTTGGTATGATTTTTAGCTGATACCTACTACTACTGCATGAAAACTAACAGTTAAGCTAGATTCCATGATTTGTTATGTGGTCTAAAGCTTCAAAACAATGTTATTATTAGTGGATGAGGAAGTGACATGACCTCTGTTGGACAACTCCATGTTGTTTACCTACGTGCATTCATTTTGTCTCATCAATATATATAAATAGGAGATTTCCCCTCATTACAACATTTGCACCGCTATCCAAGAGTGATGGATTAACATTCAATAATCATAGGGGGTTTTTGACACGTCTTTGCTAAAGAGCTCTGTCTTTCTTCATTCAAGTAATATGCTAAACTCGCTCACCTTCTATACATTACATTAGTAGGGTAGGAGTTGATCATTTTGTCGTCAACCATTTTGGAAGCTTGAGATTGAATTCAAATGGGTAGATATATCTTTCTTGAAGTCGTGCCTCTTAATCAAATGGTGCAAATAAAAAAAATTGAGGTTTTGAATGGTTGTTTAACCATTCTAGAATGAAACACTTAAATCTCTATAGATAGAGACAAATTTGGAAGGACACACGATTAACATTCCTACAAATACTATACAAATGCTGTATACGAAACAAACTTATTACCTCTACCTTTTTTATTGAGAAACCAAAGTAGTAAAGAACAATTTTCTATAAATTCTCTTCTTGGTATAAACTTGAGTGTTTCTTGTTATTTTTTGTGTGTTCGGGATTTGCTTTAGGAGTGTGCAAAAGTTGGACCTCTGATGAATTATATGAACTTGTTACTATCCCTTGTACCCTGTGTTCTATGTACAAGCCTCATACATACAATGTCACTTATAAAATCGATTGAATTTTTGTTTTCCTATTACAAATTATTTGTCCGTACAATATCTACTCTCCCTTGCAGTTGGAAATTGTAAATTTTTGCCTCTTTATTCGCATACTATATTTACTTAATTTGTTTCAGTTACATATTTTACTTGACTTCTTAATCATTAGGCACCTTATTGTTCAAATTCAGGAAACTATTTATTATATTCAATCACAATGGACAAAAGTTGGGCCACTTTGAATCCGTTTACAGAGGATTACAGAACAGGGCTAGCAAAATTTATCTCAAACTCATTCCAAGTTTCTTCTCATGATGACAACATCAAATGTTCATGTGCTAAATACTTGAATAGGTTATGGTTGAGTAACAATGAAGTTGAAGCACATCTAACTGTTGAAGGTATGGACCGTTCATACTTGGAAGGCTCATGGGTATTGCATGGGGAGACATTTGGTAACCCTCTTCCAAATAGCCAAGATGCACAACAAATTGCTATTGTTAATATTCCTCATTGTGAACTAGGCCCCTCGCTTGAAGATATTTTCTCGGGTCCCAGTGTAATGGGTGGCAGGCCTATTAGTAATCACAGTGGTCAAGAAGCTCTAATACCTACATATGCATGTAAGTTTGAAGTGATGGTGCAAGACGCCAACATGAAATTATATCCGGGTTGTGGTATGAAGAAAATGGATTTCCTAATACGAGTATTTCAAAACAAGTGCTTATATGGGTGCAGTGAAAGTGCAGTGCAAGCTAATCTTCAGCTTTTGAAACATATACTCCCAAATGGTCATTCTTTACCGAAGGTGAAAAGTAAAAAGGGATTGCTGAAAAATTTCATGTTGCCTCACCAAAAGATCCATGCATGTGAAAATGATTGCATGCTGTATTGGAAACATAACAGTGGTTTAAATGTTTGTCATACGTGTGGTGTGTCCAAATATACAACCGAGGTAGATGACACAGTGCGAAACAGTAAAAAGAGAATACCTCGGAAGGTGTTAACATATTTTCCTATTACACCTCGCTTGCAAAGGCTTTACATGTCTCGTCACACTAGTAAAGACATGTGTCGGCTTGGTTTTTCTCGCCCCGAGGATGGCTTCTTAAGACATCCAGCTGATTCCTTTGCATGGAAGCAATTAGATATGAAATTTCCAACATTTGGTGGCAAAATACGCAATGTACGTCTTGGGTTGGCAAGTGATGGATTCAACCCTTTTGGAAAATGTAGCACCGACTATAGCACCTGGCCAATATTGTTGACTATATACAATTTACCACCTTGGTGGTGTATGAAATCACCGTTCATATTGATGGCTTTGTTAATACCGGGAAAAGAATCTCCAGGAAATGATAATGATATATACCTTGAACCATTAATAGACGAGCTGAAGGTATTGTGGACCTCAGGGGTTCCCACTTATGATACGTTTAGGCAATAGACCTTCACCTTACGAGCAGTTATTTTATGGACTATTAGCGACTTCCCCGGCTATGGGAACTTGTCCGGTTGGAGCACACATGGGAAATTAGCATGTCCTCCTTGTAACTACAAGACTGAGTTGACATATCTAAAAAATAGTAGGAGTATTGTTATATGGTTCACCGTCGTTTCTTGCCCATGTCATATGTTTTTGTTGACAAAGGAAAACCTTTAACCTCTCTGATGAAAGAGAGCAAGCACCTTCCTCATGATCGGATGGGAATGCCTTCGGCAGTTGTTCATTTTATGGTTCAAATATGGTAAGACCCCATGACAAGAGGTTAGAGATAAAAGACCACCGCCTATACCAACAATTGGGCCATGGAAGAAACATATTATTTTCTTCAAATTGTCGTATTCAGAACATCTTGTCCTTCGACACTGCCTTGATGTCATGCATATTGAAAAAAATGTCACTAAAAGTTTGGTTGCAACTATGCTGGGTATTGTTGGGAAAAGCAAGGATAACTTGAATGCAAGGTTGGACCTAGAATTGATGGGCATGAAATCGGAGTTGCAGAGAAAATTTGTGAATGGAAAGCCAAAGATGCTTCCTGGTGCATATACTATGAAACCATTGGAGAATGAATTGTTTTGCAAGGTTTTAGCCTAAACAAAAGTGCCTGACAATTACTCGTCAAATATTTCACGGCTTGTGCATGTAAAGGAAAAGATTGTAAGGGGACTTAAAAGGATTAGCATGTTTTAATGCAGCAATTCCTTCCAATTGCCATACGCAAAAGCCTCCCAGCTGGGACAGCACATATATTATTGGAACCAAGTGCATTCTTTAGACATTTGTGTACGAAAAAAGGGTCTGTGGAAGGATTTCACAAACTTACACCCAAAATAGTTATGATCATGTGCCAATTGGAAAGGATATTACCCTTTGCATTCTTTGTCGTCAGTCTTCACCTCACAATACATCTTGCCGAGGAAGCTGCACATGCAGGTCCAGTACACTACAGATGGATGTACCTAATTGAGAGGTATTCTTTAACTTTTAATATGTTTCCATTGGTATTACATTTGTGCATCATACAATTTATAACCGAGTTTGTAGTATTTAAATTAGGTACATGCTAACCTTGAAGAAGTATGTTCGAAATAAAAATCGACCTGAGGGAAGCATGACCCAAGGATATTTGGCTGAAGAGTGCTTGTCTTTTTGTGCGATGTACTTGGAAGGCGTGGAGACACGTTTGAACCATCCAAGCCAAAATGTAGATAGAATACGTCCTGACTATGAGGTTGACATTGACATATTTTGTGCCACAGGGCATTCACTTGGTATGCGGGAAAATTATCATCTTGACAACCACAATTGGGAGATTGCACTATCGTATGTTTTAGCCAATTGTGATAAGTCAATGGCATATAGGAGGTAATTAAACTTAAATGCTATAAACTGTAGTTGAATGGCCTTAAATTCTGAAACTCAACTTGTGGTTATACAGAGTGACATTGGCATTATTTTCACATACAGAAGTTATGTGGAGAATGCTCAAAGAACTCGAGGGAGGCGTGCAACCATGCTACAAGCAGAGAAAGAAGCTATTAAATCCTTCCCATATTGGTTTGAAAAACATTTTAGTACAGAATAAGTTGATTATGCATATAATGGTTTCCTATTTATCTTCCTATTATGAACTATGCATATGAACCTATGTGTAAATTGTGTAGGTTAATCAATTGCAACAATTAGGTGATCCAAGGGCAACTGACGACCTGGTGGCGCTTGCTAATGGACCTAGTAAGTGGTGTCAGAGATATAAGATTTTTGTATGTAATGGGTTCAGGTTCAAAGTAAGAGGCATATAATCTAATGGGAAATACCAAAACTATAGTGTTTTCTTACAGTCTGATGTTCCAAGTTATGCTAGCCCATGTGACTGGAACCTTGTTATTGGTTTGGTAGACTACTATGGGGTTCTGACTGATGTATTTGAAATCAAGTACCATATGGAACGCACAGTGGTATATTCAAGTGCAACTAGTTTGATGACACTTCCAGAAATACTAGTCAGGGAGTAAAAACAGATAGATATGGCTTTAGATTGGTTAACTTCAATAAGATTTCGTCTCTGAGTGACCCTTTCATTCTCACATCACAAGCACTACAAGTAAATGTATAAGACCCAATAGATATTGAATGGCACGTTGCAATCAAAACGAGACCACGTGATTTCTTTGATATGTCCTCAACACATGATCATGATCCGTGCGATAAATAGGATATGGAACATGCAACTGGTGATAATGATGAGGTTTGAGTTAGAAGCGATGTAGATGCCCAAGACTTCGAAGAATGCCTATAAAAGCATCTCACTTTTGATTAAGGTAATAGTTATAAGAAGTATGACTGGAGGTGCACTAGAGCATGGGTTGATCCTAATTCAGATCACTATAGTATGTTGAAGCCTTCTGGACATAGCATTGCTGCTTGTTCTTTTTTATCTCGCACTCAATAATTCAATAGTAAGAATATAATTGAGGTATGAAATGAATTGTGAATTAACCAGTTATATTGTCATGATATTTAATTAGCGCAACTATAGCTGAATATATATAAATTAAACCAGTACACATTTTTATAATTGCAAAATACACAGAGTAGTCTTACAAGATTTTGATTCCATAAACCATCCATCCAAAAACAAAAATAACAGAGTAGTCTATATAGTTACCAACTGCTTAGGTTCAAAATATAAACATCCATATCTTTTATGGTGGTATAAACTGAGAAGCAATGTTTACATAGAGCAAAAAAGAAGAGATTTTTTTTTCTTTTGTAAAGGTTGATATCTTGCCTGCACTGGACATATGTGAATACTAATACCATAATAAAACATCCATTCCCACCTAGGTTCAACTATTCTTACCATAAACGTCATTAGATGGTGATTTTGCACTTTGAACTCAAATAGGGATGGCTTCCTGTTTTGCTTTACATGTAGCACGATTCATCCAATCACAATGTTCTTGACCACCCACATATTCGCATGCAGCACACTCCTTAAGAGCCTTGTAACTTTTTTGAGGATGATGATTTCTCACAGTACTGGTACAATCAGAATCAGAATCGAAGTGTATAACATTGCAAATCTTAATAGGATCAAAGTGGTATGAATCATCCGGGGAAAAGATGATATTATTTTCATTGTGTCACCACTAATGGAAGGTTACTTTCCACTAGTCATTAATTTCTCAGTATCACCACTGATGCAAGGTTGCTTTCCACTGCTACCATGCTTCACGTAGTTGATTTCGTTGGACCAGGGCAGAATCACGTTCACACCGAAACCTGGAAGATCAGATGGAAAGTGCTCATCTTTCAACATCACATTTTTCACTGCCTCATCATAATGAGGACAATAAATATTGATCAAGGGATTGGGTGATTGAGGAGGGTAAACGGGCATGTTTAAGGCATGCGAAAAATCGTTCCATTCACCCCAAGCAGCAGTTATCTTTGCAGGGGATTCGAACTGCTGATTGGCACCTGACTGCAGTGTAGGATTTTACTCGCACTCGACTTCGACATGAAAGTTAGCCTTTAGGTAACTCCAAAAATCAAGATCTTCATGATTGGCAGTGAGTATAGGGACAAGGTTTTCCCAGGTGGGAACCAGGGTTGCAGTGTTATTGGTTGAGGTAGGCATCATGGGATCAATTACTTCATGATCAACCGCAGGAACATGAGGTTCACTTATGTTACAGAACAACTATTTGTGAGCGTTGGGGAATAAAGGGGACATTGGTGATTACGCGTGATTTTGAAGTTTTTGAAACTGCTGGAAGTCCAAAAAACTCTTCATGGTTGATATTTATAATTGACATTAGAATGGAGGGCATGGCACTTGTAAGTTCACACCCACTTAGTGTAAAAAAAAATATTAATTAGGGTGTCAACAAGTAATAGTCTTGGGATTCTCCTTACAACAAGTAAAGTTCATGTTGGAAATGTGCCCTAAAGCCAATCATGTGATGATACTTTACGGACATTTCACATGTTAAACTAATCTAGTTTTACATATAAAGGGCATACATTATTGTTTGAGCCGTCTCATATAAATGTTATATGCTTAAACGATAAAGTCCAAGGAATATGTGATTGGGAGAATGTAATCTAATGAAGTTAGATTCATGAGACCATTCTTTCGTAGACATATCCTAAACGTTCCTGATCATAGGATTGTTAATTGGGCGTTGACAGTCCGTTAAGATCAGTACGTACTATGTTTTCTCTCAGGGAGAGTGATTAGTCTCGAGTCATTGGTGTGTGTGACATCAAGACAAGTACGTAGGTGCTCAATAGAGAATGAGTTCACTGAACGTGATCAACGAAGAGTTCTTATATTCCATGTCACATGAGAACTCATGGTTGGGATAATGCAAAGTAGTCCTTTGACCTGAGGCATCACAGTTGTCTTGTGGTTAAGTCCTTGATCTTTGATTATGTCAAAGTCACCCCCTCGGGGTGTCCACGGCATCGTTGGGGTTAAGCCACTTAGCTATGGAGACAAGTGAATGCGCAACAAGGGATCTCTAACCTTCAAACAGTTGAGGGAGAATACTCTATGATATGATTGGAATCTCTGGCCAGAGTATGAATGAGATTAGGGAATGCGTTCCAAATCACATTCAAGGAAATCATATAAGCACACGAATCACATTGGATAGTAGACATGAATAAATAAACTATCATACCAAACAATGTGGTCAAGAGTATTAGATTAGAGAAGGACCGTATTGCATTTGTAATCCCAAACTGAATAGGTTCTCTATCCTCTTCTGATTAGCTTGGGTAACCATGATATGCTGCTAGGTGTCACTCATGGTTTGTGGAAGCCCTAAACGTGTGTAATCACTAAAGGGAGAATTGAAAATAGTTTCAATTCACAATCGATGTAAAATGGTTTTAATCGCCCACTACCTCGCTAAAAGGAACCTAATGGA